TGAAATAATTTTAAATAAGTTCCTCTCTCAATTTAATGAGTGCATGTGTCATATTTAAACGTGTCCTATGGACTTCTTGCTTGAACGTATTTATCGTAAGAGTTTAGAGGCTGCATCAAGAGTACTCGTGGCCTTGAGTGACACATATTTCTGTGTATCATTAGTCATTTTAACCAGGACTTGAAGCATACGAGCTTGCTAAGATACTAATAGAAGAGTCTGATGGAGTCTGTAAAAACTTGAGACTCTCTCATTTTTTGGCCGCTCAATTTTTTTTCTTAGAGACTCGATCTTATTAGGATATTTTGAAAAGAGTCTGATTAATTCTGTGAAGACCTTGAGACTCTCTGAATGTATAATCGTTTCGTGTGATTGCATTTAGCGAGTCTAGTAGTATTCCTTTCACAAAAGAGCTGGGTAGTATCACTACATACCGCTTGCAAATGTCTCATCAAATAGTTGTTTGAGCGAGCAGCTTAAGATTGTGTCCTAAAAATCGCTTCGTCGTCAAAGAATGGGTTGTGGAACTGAAAATACCACAGCAGACACTTCTTTATTAAGTTCTACGCCCTAGCTGCTCGGTCAAGGCATTTCTAAATGTTAAGATGTGGTACACAATAGTTTGGGAAGGTTGGCGGTCAATAGGATCGTACAGGGCAGAGTGGAAAACTTACTTGTTCGTTGGTCAAGTCATGCAAAAGGGTTGTTGCGGTTTTTAAAATTGTATATCAGACGTCAAAGAGGAAAGCCAGTTATAACGGTCATCCCCATGCTAATGTTATAGTCTCGGTGGACGCAATTTCTTAACAGTATCAGAGGTTATTTTCATCGGATCATGGCAGCGTCAATGTATACTGTAGCATAGTCAATAATTATTGGATAAAAATGAAAATCTACGCCAGAACCACCCTTCCATCTCCAGATTAAAAACTCCCAAAAACCAGTAGTGTAACGGGGTGAATCGTTACATAACAATTTATAAGAAATTGTTAATAGAATATAACTATAAGAGTTATATTCTCAGAATATTGTCATAAGGACAAATTTTCTGTAGCACTTACGAGTAGTTCCTAATTGGTTGATATAGGCCATTATATCAACCAACGAAGACGCGCCACGACAGACGCACGCAATGAGTGGTGAGCAGATAGTTGACAGACACATTTGTATTCAAACATAGTTAGATGAGGATAAACAGGGGGTATATTACAGACATTAACTATACTAAATACAGTTCTACTTTTTACTTTAACCAAGTACTCGCTTCTTCTTACCGTCTTCCTCTGCACGTACGAGTGTACGTGAAGTTACGAGACACCGCCTTATTCTGTCATCAGAATAAGTAGCTTGTACTGTCACCAGTACAAGCTTCAGGGTGCCCCGTTACAAGTAGAATAAGGGGTCCATAGTCCATCAACACAGCTGAGGAACTGAGGACCTTTCCTTTTTTATCCTTTGTCCGGTCGTCCATTAAGTTCAGACACACGTAGCCATCCTGGTCGTTTGCTGGGGTACTTTTGTGTGAGGGGGATGGCGTCATTCTTTTGCTGACTTCATTTCGATGGTTTAATCAATTCTAATGAATAGGACGACAGTGCTTAGCCAGAGCATAATGATCGGGATCCTGGAAGTAGTGCTAGAGTTAATGGATGGGAAAGGATACGTTGCAGCAGAAGAGTGTGCAATTACAGACAAATTCACCAAGTCTGAGAAGATCAACGTCTTAGGTAGTGCCTGTACCTTGCACTATGTGTCCCAGGAAACCCAGTTTTCTGCCTACGAGCTACTTCACAGCCCGTGGGCTAACATTCGCAGTGCCAAAACCAACCCAAACCAAACCCCATGCTTGACTTGGATAGGTCTACTCCCCCACAATTGATACGAATTCTCCCTGTATGCGCTTACATCTGGCGTCTCGGCTACCAGTTACAATTTGAAAGCTGGCAACCATAGAGCGACAATAAAGCGACCCTGGTGGACGTCCGATCCTACTCGTTTGTGGAGGTTATAGGTTATCTGGGGAAACGGTATCAGAGAGAGGAGGACTGAATACAGCTCCCACCTTGTATTGACAGGGACGCCGCGATATTTCCCATCATATAGACTTGGATATTGCTGAACAATCACGCTACGAATCACTCTTTGTTTCACGTGTGATTGTCGCGGTTGCATGGCGATCACCTTCTAATGCGCAATTGTGCGCCAACTACAACTTGGACGCCACCACTTACACTAAGGCCAGCTGTAATCTGTTAAGTGTCAAGCAGTGAGGCTTCACGACCATATATTGACCGAAATCATTAGCGATAAAATAGGGCACGTATTGGATAAGCCCTTCTAACCTGGCTCACGATAGCTATTTAGTTGTGTGCTGATACCGCGACATAATTACCATTGCGCTACTCGTCATCAGGACGTGGCCGAACTTCATAGCGACATTGGCTATAGGCCCATGAAGATGATGCTTCAAAGACTGCTGCAAGGGATGTTGATCGATTCTAGGGAAGAATTTGCGCTTAAAATGGCAATTCCGGCTGTGTGGCCTGACAGACCAGCTCCTGTAATCCGGCAAAACAAGTCAGGTTCCCAACAACAGTATGTGTCTGCGAGCTCAGTTGTGCGAGCTCAGCGAAGTACCGACGGAAGACGCGCAGAGATGAGAAAGGCTGCATGCCCTGCGACTTGACCTTCTAGTCACCGCGTAGTCTGCACCTTTCGTCATCAATTGGCAAATGACTTCCTTCGTCGCAACGCGCTTAGCATGAACGCGAAGATATCAAACCAACCTGACGGACTGAACATGCCCGCAAATGGACCAACATCGTATAAACACGAGATCAGATCTTCGTATCTCTGACCGGCTCCTAGCACCACTTCTTGCGCTGGTAATAGAACCGTCATGCATGTCGAAAGTGAGAGTTCAATCACGAGGTCTATCGTCTGCGCTAGCTACAAAGGCCTCTACCTTGCGTTGCTCTTGGTCCATCCAATTATCATCCTGTGGTTCAGCTTTGCAATCGTTACCGGTGGCAGCCGCCGTAGAGACGAGTTTACTACTCAAAACCCAAGTGTCTACTCGACTCGCAAGCCATGCCGAACCTAATCCATCAAGCGTGCTGCTCGAAACGGCAAATTACGGGGTAACGTTATCACACGATGAAACACTGCGAAAGAGAACGTTACCTACAATGCCAAGTGATTCTGAAGAGGGGATGTGGCGCTCGACGAGCCAGGAGCTGCAGAACTGGTCTCATAGTGATCGTCATTGCAGAGCTTGAGAGCGAATTAACACGACGTTTAAGCACTTGGAGGAAGTGAGAGATTCGTGAAGAAAAAAGCTCACCTCTCATGGAAAAAGTAGGAGAGCTGGGTAATGCTTCGCATCCTCGGCACAGCAGGCTGCGTCCGACAGCCTGTTCGTACGGGCGACATGACATTGTGGATAAGCTGGCTTGCAGAAAGAAGGGAATCGGCAGCGCTCTGCTAGACGGTAAGCTGGCTTAGGTCGCGTACACGAAGCATAGCATTTCGATCGGTTTACCACCTCATTAAGCCGTCAGATCTAGAGGGAGGTATACCGCTGTCAAAAGCTCGCGAGAGAAGTAACAGCAAGGAGGGGATTTTGGACAACTCCTACGGGTTCAGTATCATTGACCGTGAATGGTCGTGATATTGTCCAGGGTCGACAGAATGACAAGTGGTTAGTACTTACTTGCCAGGCTGTCTAGTCTGTACTCGTCGATCGTAGCGCAGGCAGCGAGAGATTCGGGGTGACATCGAGGAACGGAACATACGATGGTATGACTTACCCGGAGTCGTATCTTACAGCTTGATGCAGCAGGACTTATTGCCGCATCTGCAGCAGGAGATTGGGGGATGGCTTGCCCCACAACGGATTAAATCAACTGAGCTACCACATGGGTCCTCGGCAGCACCGTCAATGAGTCGTCTCTGGTACAGCTATATCTCAATGAAGTTGTCTTGAGGGAGCAGAACCCCGTTGGTCGCCATGCCGTAGGTTGACGTTGTGCTGCGCGACGATGTTCGGTTACAACGCTAGTCCGAACGGTTGTGTCATCGATGCTATCAATAAATGAGTGGAGGCCATACCTTGATGAGTGTTCAACCAGCAGACAATTCGTCAGCTGGACGACAGCGAGCAAAGTTTACGTCAGTAGCAGCTGATTGTTCTAAGCCAAAACCATTACGCTTTCGCTGATGAGGTAGTCGCTACAATCGAAACGCCAGTTCGCACCAAGTTTACGGCAGTCAGGATGCATCGCAAGATCTCTCGTTGGCGTTTGCGATATCAAGGAGTTGTTGAGATGGTGTATCTGTGGAGAGATGAATGATCGACCTAGCCGGAAATATGAGAGGTAGCTAATTGCTTAGAGACTGCAGAGCTGTGCAAGAAGATCGGGTGTGAGACGGAGCAATCGGATTACGTCACGGAGATCAATGCACGCATTAAGCCTGACAATGGCCGGGAGACGAAATCGTCAGGACGGTCAATATGTTCCTGCGTAATCAATGCGCTCCGTGTCTACACATGGACACAACTAGTGAGCTATTTGCCGTGCCAATCGGTGGGAGCCAAGGCGCATTAGCGCAATCTCCTTCAACAAAAGTGAGCCCTTCTGGCTGCTACCTTGGATACAGGAACATGCGTTCTTCGTACGTATCAGCTAGCAATGAGCCAGAATGGACACTAAGCCCAAAATTCAGCAAATTTTCTAGCACAAATCACCCAACAGGAAGTCCTATTGCGAAAATGGACGGTACCGGTCTTCGCTTCGAATTGTGCAAAGCTCGACTCCCTACGTGAACTCACGCCTTTCACCTCGACGCGTTCGACGATGGCAAAAAAGCGAGTCAGCCAGTGTCAGGCATGGACGTATCCTCGTAATCGGCTGGATTTTCGCCGTGTCGCAAAGCCTCGTGGTATCGTTTTGTATCGTCCTCTTTCTGCTCAGCAAACGACTTTTGATTTACTGATCTTGCTACCTGGGCATACAAACATCAGGGTACGTAGGAGGGTTGGCGTAAGCACAAAGCACGACATCCAACATGGTCGCACTTAGACGAGAGACCACAATCAGCCCCTGATGACCTTCGTCGTCGTGCCGTTTGATTGGTTCCGCCTGTCTCGATCGCCCCATAATCTCCATCATCGCTTTGTTTATAACCATCACTCGACGGCCGTTTTCCAGCTCCATTGCGCACGTCATCAGAATCCGATCAGTGTCACTCGTAAAGTGCAGTCAGTACACTGAGTAGCTGCGACCTGTGACTGACTTTCTGAAGGTCTCGCTCACTTTTCAATTGACACATTGAGGGCCACATCCAGCCAGCTGCGTGCCCCCAGAAGTCCACAGGAAAAAAGGACATCGCCCGACCCACGCTCGACAAGTAGCGAGTGTGACCGAACTCAGCGCCATGTCGAGACGCGAAATGAGCGCTTCGGACAGACCGATGCGCACCACGATCAACTACGACAATGGCAAGACGCTCATGGCCGAGGGACCTCAAGCCCTGCACGAACACGTCGCGTCTCGCGTGGGGATCGCTCTTGGCGGAGACCTCCCACAGATCGAGGTGCGCTTCAAAGACGTCTCGATCACTGCGGACATCATGGTGAAGGGTGAGACCGACGTCAAGGTCGAGCTGCCCACGCTCCCGAACGAGCTCATCACGGGCATCCGGAGCTTGGGCGCCACCAAGCACTCGGTCAAGAAGCACATCCTTCGGAACATCAGTGGTGTCTTCAAGCCAGGCACCATCACGCTCGTGCTCGGACAGCCAGGATCAGGCAAGTCGTCGCTCATGAAGCTGCTCAGCGGCCGCTTTCCAGCCGCCAAGAACATCACGATGGAGGGCGAGGTCACGTACAACGGCACCCCAGCCAACGAGCTGCTCACATGTCTGCCGCAGTTTGTGTCCTACGTGACTCAGCGCGACAAGCACTACCCGTCCCTTACGGTGAAAGAGACGCTCGAGTTCGCGCACGCCTGTTGCGGTGGTGGTCTCTCCGAGCGAGCCGAGCGGCACTTTGTCAATGGCTCACCGGAGGAGAACAAGGCCGCGCTCGAGGCTGCTCGCGCCTTGTTCAAGCACCACCCGGACATCGTCATCCAGCAGCTCGGACTCGACAACTGTCAGAACACCATCGTGGGCGACGCCATGATCCGCGGTGTGTCGGGCGGAGAGCGCAAGCGCGTGACGACGGGCGAGATGGAGTTCGGCAACAAGTACGTGAAGATGATGGACGAGATCAGCACGGGACTCGACAGCGCCGCAACGTTCGACATCATCACGACGCAGCGCAGCATCGCCAAGAAGTTCCGCAAGGCGATCGTGATTTCTCTGCTGCAGCCGTCGCCCGAGGTCTTTGATCTCTTCGACGACGTCTTGATCTTGAACGAGGGCTACGAAATGTATCACGGACCGAGGGCTGAAGCGCTAAGCTACTTTGAGAGCTTGGGCTTCAAGTGTCCTCCTCGTCGTGACGTGGCAGACTTCTTGCTGGATCTTGGCACGGACAAGCAGGCGCAGTACGAAGTGCGCTCAGCTTCCTCCGCGAAAACCCCGCGCACGGCAGGCGATTATGCTGAAGTGTTCGCACGCTCCATTATTTACGAGCGTATGATGGAAGAGCTGCATGGCCCGATCGCTCCGAAGCTGATTGAAGACATGACAGAACACATTAAGCCGATCCCGGAATTTCACCAGAGCTATTGGAATAGCACAGTGGCTGTGATGCAGCGTCAGGTCAAGCTGACGGCACGAAACGTTCCATTCCTCGCCGGTCGCTCTTTCATGACTATTTTGATGGCGCTGCTGTACGCAAGCGTCTTTTACGATTTTGAAGAGACGGACGCTCAACTTGTCATGGGTATGATGTTCAACAGCGTCTTGTTTGTGTCGCTCGGACAACAGGCCCAGATCCCGATGTTCATGGCAGCTCGAGATGTGTTCTACAAGCAACGCCGAGCCAACTTCTTTCGGACTGTGTCGTTCGTCCTGTCGAACTCCGTAACTCAGCTCCCATTGGGGTTGGCCGAATGTTTGGTCTTTGGCTCCCTCGTCTACTGGATGTGTGGATACGTGTCATCAGCCGGAGCCTTCATCCTGTTTGAGGTCATACTCTTCCTGACGAACCTAGCGATGGCGGCGTGGTTTTTCTTCCTGTCCTGCGCTTCGCCAAACTTAAATGTGGCGAACCCGGTGTCCATTGTCTCCATCTTGTTTTTCATCCTGTTTGCTGGCTTCGTCATCACGAAAGACCAGATTCCGGACTACCTCATTTGGATCTACTGGATCAACCCCATGGCTTGGGGTCTTCGTGCGCTTGCTGTGAACCAGTACACTGATTCCAGCTTCGACACCTGTGTGTACAATGGTGTCGATTACTGCGCCGACTACAACACGACCATGGGAAAGTACTCACTGAGCACGTTCGAAGTACCAACCGAAGAATCCTGGCTGTGGTACGGCTTGGCTTTCATGGGCGTCACGTATTTCCTCTGCATGTCCTTGTCGTACGTTGCACTGGAGTATCACCGATTCGAGAATCCCGAGAATGTATCGCTGGACACGGAGACCAAAGAAGGCGTGTCTGATGAGTACGGTCTCGTTCAGACGCCACGAAACTTCGAAGGAAGAGAAGAGACGATGGTGTCGGTAGTTCCTGCTAGCGAGAAGCTCTTCGTTCCAGTCACCATCGCCTTCAAGGACCTCTGGTACAGCGTGCCGGACCCGTCAAACCCCAATGGAACAATCGACCTGCTTAAAGGTATCAACGGATACGCGATGCCAGGTACCATCACGGCACTCATGGGATCGTCAGGTGCCGGCAAGACGACGCTCATGGATGTTATTGCCGGACGCAAAACGGGAGGAAAGATCGGCGGCCATATCTTGCTTAACGGCGTCCCTGCCACTGACATCGCTATCCGACGCTCGACTGGGTACTGCGAGCAAATGGACATTCACTGTGAGTCAGCAACGATCCGCGAGGCGCTCACGTTCAGTGCATTTCTCCGCCAGGGCGCTGACGTTCCCGATAGCTGCAAGTACGGCTCGGTGGATGAATGTCTGGACTTGCTTGATCTGCATCCGATTGCCGACCAGATCATCCGCGGCAGCTCCGTGGAGCAGATGAAGCGATTGACGATTGGTGTGGAGCTGGCAGCCCAGCCCAGTGTTCTCTTCCTGGACGAGCCTACGAGCGGACTGGATGCGCGTTCCGCCAAGCTCATCATGGATGGCGTGCGCAAGGTGGCGAACACGGGTCGGACTGTTGTGTGCACGATCCATCAGCCTTCGACGGAGGTTTTCAGTGTGTTCGACAGTCTGCTACTGTTGAAGCGCGGTGGTGAGACGGTGTTCGCGGGTGAGCTGGGTCAGAACGCGCGTGAGATGATCGCGTACTTCGAGTCCATCGACGGTGTGGAGAAGCTGCCGGAGAACTACAATGCGGCAACGTGGATGCTGGAGGTGATCGGTGCGGGTGTCGGCAACAGCAACGGTGCCAAGGACTTCGTGAAGTTCTTCCAGGAGAGCAGGCAGTTTGAGATTTTGCAGAAGAACCTGGACCGTGATGGTGTAGCCCGACCCTCGGCGGACTTGCCTGAATTGATATTCACCGACAAGCGTGCCGCGACGGAACTGGTCCAGATGCAGATGCTGATGCAGCGCGTGTTCCGCATGTACTGGCGCACGGGATCGTACAACCTGACCCGCTTTGGTCTCTTCCTCATACTCGGAATTATCTTCGGTATCACGTACGTCAGCGCTGAGTACGTATCCTACGCCGGCATCAACTCGGGCTTGGGCATGCTGTTTTGCGTGACGAGTTTCCTCGGGTTCATTGCTTTCAGCAGCGTCATACCAGTGGCGTCCGAGGACCGTTTATCGTTCTACCGCGAGCGCGCCTCTCAGACGTACAACGCGCTGTGGTATTTCGTGGCCATCACCGTGGTGGAGATCCCGTACGTCTTCTTTGGCACAATGCTCTTCGTCGCGCCGTACTTTCCAATGGTCGGGTTCACCGGGGCGGATACGTTTTTCGCCTTCTGGGTTCATCTGTCCATGCACTTGCTGTGGCAGACTTACTTCGGCCAGTTAATGGCTTACCTGCTACCGACGGTTGAAGTCGCTTCGATTCTGGGAGTGCTGCTGCAGACCATTTGCTTCTTGTTCAATGGATTCAACCCGCCTGCATCGTCAATTCCAAGCGGGTACGAGTGGGTATACCACATTACGCCGCACAAGTACTCGCTGGCGGTAATCGCGTCGCTCGTCTTCGGTGACTGCCCAAGTGACGGTGATGGCTCGGACGTTGGATGTCAAGTCATGACGGGCGTGCCTCCTTCCATCTCTCCGGACATGACGGTGAAGCAATACTTGGAAGATGTCTTCCTGATGAAGCACAGCGAGGTTTGGGAGAACTTCGGCTACGTCTTGGGCTTCATCGTGCTCTTCAGTCTGCTGGGACTGCTAGCTCTGCGCTTTGTCAACCACCAGAAGAAGTAGCGGGCGATACACATAACTGCATCATGCACATAATTCACGCTCTTAGCTTGATGAGCAACTCGTGTAACATGTTTGTGCAAGTTCGTGTCCGATCACAATAAGGGGCAGTAGAAACGTTTAGGATGAAGAGAGTTCTACACACAACAAACAGAAAGTCGACGCTTTGCTGCCGCCCTCTGCGAGTACTTCATTCAAAGGCGGTAGCAGCAATGTGTTCGTGTTTCGGTCGCAAACAGATCAAAATGTAACTGCATTGCACATCTTAACGCTGCGATGTAAAGGTAGCTGCTGCTAGAAATGGACGCGGCAAAATGTACTTCTGTCAATGCGATTGACTATAGGGACGATTGATTGATCCCGATCGATGCACCGACGTGTCAGGAACGCATTCCGGCAAGTCGTTCTCCCTAAGCTTTGGACTCTTGCGGAGACTTGATCTCTTCAAACGCAGATACCTTCTGCACGTGTTTGCTGTTGAACAGCGCCTCAATGTCCTCGAGCATCATCCCCTTCGTCTCGGGGCAGAAGAAGAACACGAAGACGCCGCAGATGCAGCACAAACCCGCAAAGAGAAAGAAGACGCCGTTGATGTTCAAATGCGGGAAGAGCTTGACGACCTCGGACATGACGGCGCCCATGGCCCAGTTGGCACCCGTGGAAAGAGCCACAGCGGGAGCACGAACTCCTAACGGGAAAATCTCGGCCGGATAGATCCAGCACACGGGGCCCCACGAGATGGCAAAGTTGAACACGAAAAACGCCGTGCCAAAGCAAATGAACCACCCACCTACGGTCGGGCACCCGGCATCGTCGACGTTGCCGTCACAAATAGCAGTGAACAAGATGGCGGCGAACAAGTGGCCGATTACCATACCGACAGCGCCAATGAGCAGCAGCTTTCGACGTCCGGTTGTATCCACCCACCGCATGGATGGGATAGTGCTGAGGAGGTTGACACCAGAGAGGAAAAAAGCCGAGTAGATACCGGCTTTGGTGATGTCCTGGAAGATGAGACCACCATAGCTCATGATTGGATTGATACCCGTGGCCTGCTGCAGAACTTGAAGCATCATGGCAATGATCACACGCTTCAGAATGGATGGCTCCAACAGTTCCCGAAGTCCTTTGTCGGCCGCCAATTCCTCGGCAACCTGAGCGCCGATCACTTCAAGCTCGCGCTCGACGTTCTCAGTCTGACGAAGGCGCTTCAGTTCTATCTCTGCCTCCTCCTTGCCCTTGTGCAGGTACGTCCAGCGAGGACTCTCAGGTACAAAGAAGATGCCCATCATGACAACGAGAGGGGCAGCCATGGCCACGCCGTTGGTCGTACGCCAACCACGGTCACGGTGCTCGACAATGAGGTTGACAACATTGGCCAAGAAAAGACCGATGACGACAGTCATCTGCATGAACCCCGAGAGCAGACCACGGAGCTCTTTGGGGGCCATTTCTGCACCAAAGAGCGGCAGTGAGAAGGACGAGTTGCCCACCCCAAAGCCTTGGATCACACGGGCAATGTACATGAGTCCATGCTCGTGCGCCTTGTTGAAGCAAACCCAGGAAGTGCCGATACAGAAGAGCAAACCCGCCGTGAAGATAGTCCAGCGACGCCCTAGCTTGTCAGCGACAAAGCCGCCCACAAAGGCTCCACCGAGACACCCGAGGTTGTACGTCATGTTGTACCACACGGTAAAGCCTGTCCACTCCGTGGGCAGCTTGGACGACGCGGACGTGCACTGTTCGTACGTGAAGTTGTGCCAGCCGACGCAGTAGTCGTTGATGAACGAGTCCATGATGAGCACCCCCGAGGTCACGCCCTGGTCGTAGCCGAAGAAGAGCCCGCCGAGAGCGGCAAAGATGCACACAATAATGGCGTAAGTGCGGGAACCTTCGGTCGGGACATCATCGTCGTTGTTGTGGACGTTCACAACGACGCCAGCTGCCATTTGTCTGCGGAGACCCGAAGAGTTCGACGAGGACGACGGAGGCCGGGTACTTGATTCGGAGGAGACGGTAAGATGCAGAATGACCGAAGGGATCAATGCCGAGCGACTTGACGAGAACGAGTTCGAGGTGGGTGGGTGGGCAGCAGCAGCAAACGGTCGAGCTCGATAGTGTACCCTAGCATGTTGAAGTTCGTGAATGGAGCGGGTCCAGCGTGGACGGGCTACCAACGACAGGGCTATCCATCCATTCTTCGGTGTGGTAAGCGCAGCGCTTTTTTCGTACAACGTCACGACGGAGCGTGGAAAGTACTTGCCGAGAAGGGTACTTGTCCAGCGGGGTGGGAATGCGTGCGTAGAAAAAGGTCCGGTCGACTCAACTTCCGCCAACGTGTTTACAATAGTCCCGACACGCCAGTCAGAAGAGCTGACTCGAAAATAGTCGATGCTGAACATCGAGTATCCTCATATTAGCTCTTCTGGCCGGCATAGTCACATTAGACTGCGCTCGGTGGTAAAAGGAACGCTTGCCTGGTTCCGAAACTACGGCTGTAAAAAAGACCCTCGTGTTGATGTGAGACACCGAAGGAGGGAGGGCTTTCTGCCTCGATTGTGGTCGTGTTGTAGCATGCTTGGAAGAGCCTCAAATCTTCTTCAGAGGCCGTGCGTTGTCCCGAATCGCCAAATAGCCGCGACTTTATGCTATGGTAATAAACACACTGCTTTTTCGTAGACAGTCGCGCAGCCACGACCTCTGAGGGATAAGCTGGGACGATGCCCGAGATGGGAGGCGTCACTTCTCTCGGTATTGCTACCGTACAGCGATAGTCCGTTGGCGAAGGTGTTCGCGACGCCGGACAGCGATAGCGCCTTAACTGAGGAGGCGAGTCCAAGCAACGAATGTCTCAGCGCGTGCATTGCGATTGCTGCACTGGGGTTTAATTTCTATTCTAGAGTCGGGTCATCCTGATCCGGAGGCTGTCGATGCAGTGCTAGAAAAGAGCTCAAAACGTGCGGACGTGCTGAATTGCGTCGTGACGTCGTCGTGATGCACGTCAGAGTCGCTTCAATTTGTCCATCTGTCATTCGTGGCTGAGGCGGAGTAGTTCAGCAGCTGAATGATGTACAGATTTCTTGTTCTTTGAAGCTGGACCATACCAGCCCGAACTATCGATCCCGAGATCGCATCAGCCCTGCTATGCATGTTTTGAGACAACTCCCGGTTGCTTTATGCGCGCCACCAGCAGACGTGACACACACGCGTATCTCAAGCTGGTGTCGAAGTTGGATCTGAGAAATGCCGTTGCTCTGGGCTGGCTGTTTGCGCGTCTCCAATCGCTCTTTTCGGTTGTACTGCTACAAGTTACGAAACACCGCGACAATAAAGTGGAGGTCGACGTGCTTGGGTTCACTTGCCTCACGTCAAACTGGAAGTCCAGTGACCAAAGTCAGCTGGTCATATAAAACGTGGTTGGTCACAAGGATGGCCCTCAGCAGCTGAAATGCTAATTCAAACGTCGAACCGCAAGTTCAGTTTACTGAGACGAACTTAGCCGTTTCGTAGACGAACTTAGCCGGTTCGTATCCACAGTCTGTTTGTTGTGTGCATCGGTTAGGGGTGTAGTTTCTGCTTTTACCACACCCAAAAGTTTACTGAAAATCACACTACTATCTAGAGGTTGACCCCGTTGGCTGAGCCATTGGTCAGCGACGACAGCACTGATATAACTCGGCTAGCGATATGTTGCGTCATGTGTCCGGCCAGCTTTACTACGCGTTGACAGCAAGCAAAACCTTCACCTGCAATGGCTGCAGAAAACTAAGTACACGTAACAGAAAAGACTGCTTACGGACGCGTGTCGGACGCGTTTCGCCTTCCGCCGCCACGGGCCTCCTTGATGGCTTACCGAATGCAAAGTGAGATCCCTTAGTGCAGCGGCCACACGTTTCGCTACGCATCGAACATTCTAGAGCTACCTCTCAGACGGACTGATCTAGCACTATCTCTCAGACTGCACCGGCGTATAACTAGTACCCGGCTAGGTACGGATGATCAAACTTTCTAACAGTAGCAACGTCACGTCATTCACGCATCCTTCTTCGATGTGAAATGGTGCATTCGAAATGTGCGTGTGTCATCATCGTCCCGATGTCGAGCACAAACACGGCGAAGCACCCAACCCTACGTGTGCTTGGTCTACCATATGAAGACACGAAATTAAATCACGGTCCAAGGTGAACAGTCGACCTGTCTATCCACGATTTCTGCATCAGCGTCACCGTCCCAAAATGTAGAGCGACCTCCAGCACGCTTCTTTATTCGTCCTAGTTTATACGACGGGTTGTAGACGTGTGTACCTCTCCTGATATAGGCATCGGCGTTGCGCCACAGTTCTTGGTATAATCTCTCATGACTATACTCCGAGTTGCCCTTTACGCTTCCCGTGTTCAAGTGCATGTTGAAGTCCACCATAGCGGGCACGAAACCTGGGTCGTAACTCACGCGGTAGTTCTCAACAGCTCCTACTGCAACTAACTTTACCTTCGGGTTGCAACGGACGACGAGCCACTTCAACCACGCCGTAGTATCATTGCCGGCCACAAGATGTTTCACCAAAATGGTTTCCAGCAGCTCCTCCTCCCTCTGTCGTGCTTTCTGAGATGATTGGTTTACCGTGAGCATCCCAAAATAGTGACGTGACGTATACTGTATAGACAGATGGCGTCTTTGCTCAACGCGTATACTACCGTGTCACGAACGATGCACAGGTTTTGTGTCTTCATGTACCGGTATTGAAAAGTAAAAAACCTGCGACGTGTGGTGTGCGTCAGTTACGCAAAATATACACAACCCCCTGCCTGCTGCGAGATATACTTGGTACCCATGTCTCTGTCGCTCGTCTTGCGTCGCACATCTCGCCCTTGCCGCTTCCTAGGTGGACGCTATACCGTATCCTCCGCGTACTCCACTTCAACCGCATCCACGACGCACTTTGGTTTCCAGCAAGTACCAGAAGCGGACAAGGAACAGATGGTCGCGTCGGTCTTCCATAATGTGGCTCAACGGTATAGACAGCCCATTATTTTTATTTATAGATGCACATGTATACATAGATGTACACATTTACATATATGAATACGTATACATTTACATACATATACATATATACATGTATGCACACGTATACATATGTATACATAAATACATATATGCTATACTCGTGAGAGTGTATCAAGACCTCATACTTTATGTTTACATAGGTACGACATCATGAACGACTTTATGAGTGGCGGGATGCATCGCCTATGGAAGGACTCGTTCGTGGAGACACTGCACCCGGTGGGTCCTTTACAGTGTCTGGACATGGCAGGAGGGACCGGAGACATTGCGTTTCGCATTGCAGAGCAGCTGACCAAGACTTCAGAAGGCACTTCAGGGTCCCAGATCACTGTATGTGATATCAACTCGTCCATGCTTCAGGTGGGCGAGGAACGGGCAGCAAAAGTGCTGCCACACGTGGACCAGTCACTCTTCCGATGGGTAGAAGGCAACGCGGAACGCTTGGACTTTGACGACAATTCCTTTGATGTCTACACAATTGTATTCGGCATTCGGAATGTCACGCATGTTGATCGTGCTATCAAAGAGGCGTTCCGAGTGCTCAAGCCGGGAGGTCGTTTCATGTGCATGGAGTTCAGTCAAGTGCCGAACTCGTTCCTTCGCGAGGTTTACGACGCTGTAAGAAGGAGGTCGATTGCAGTTGGATATGGCATGATCTTGTCTAAACTGTGATTTTTTATTGTGACGTGACTGGACTAGTACTCGTTCAATGTGATCCCGTTGCTGGGCGAGAAAGTTGCCAACGACCGTGCATCGTACCAGGTACCGTGTAATGTGTTGTAGCATTGACTGGAAGTAGTTTGTGTTCTTACTTGTACAAATTTGCCGTTTCTGATGCAGTACCTTGTCGAAAGTATCCGTCAATTTCCGCCGCAGGAAGAGTTTAAGGCGATGATTGAGGACGCGGGCTTTAAACGCGTGACTTACACGAACTTCACATTCGGTGTCACTGCAATACACTCTGGTTTCAAGTTCTAGCTGGGCTCGCTTAGACGTTTTTTCGAACTCGTGCGAGTGACGAGTGACGCATTGTTCCACACACATGTTCACATCTGTCGACGGGAAGGTTGGTAGCGGTCTAGCTGCTGTTGGTCGTGTTATGAGCGGCATTCGCAATAAAGAAGTTCTGTCGACAGAGTAAACGCTCCTTGATTTCGAACGGTCTCCAACGTTATAGCACAACGACGTCGCTTGCGACTCAATTGCAGGGAGTCGTATGCTTCATAGATGTACGAGTGTGCTGTCATGGACCACGGACAATTTCTTACAGTGATAAGCTTGCAAGATTTTAATGACCTACGGGATCTCTTGGTGAGTACAAGACATGAAGGTGCTTATCACTGATGTTGGTGCAGCACTCACTCGTTCACGGCGGCGTAAAAAAGTGGTGCGTCTCAAGACAAAAGCCACGATAGAACCGTGCACGTGTTGTGTCCGTGTTAGCAGCGCACAGTTACTATTGACAGCTGCTCAGTATGTCGTTCCCAAATTAGAACGACGTGCAACTTTTTCAGCGGCATTCACACTTCTGGCTTGACCTGCAAAGCACAAGGAAGTTCCAAATCTGACTGATTCATATGGCGGGGCACTATCGTCCCACCCACGACATTCTGCACCGGCGCTGTCGTTTCGACCGTATCGAGTTACAGTGGCATCGAATGACCGTCACATTCATGACATTTTACAAGAGATTTTTCCCTTACCAGCCAACGTTCTCTACTCGTCTTCCTCAGCGTCGTCTTCATCACTCGAGTATTGTCCATGGACATTGTAGTAGGTTGCATCAGGAAGGTCGAGCAGGTACCCGAGGTCATGGGTGGACAAAATCGACCCGTTGCCATCTTCATCGTTGTCGATAGCAAGAATATGTGCAGCAACTATTTCATTCTCTTCGTCTCCATCGTCCTCTTCTCCAGAGCTGTTACTCTCCTCCAAGTTCGAATCGGACGTCTCGTCGTCCTCTTCGTCCATGTCATCATCATCATCATCAAATTCGTCATCTTCGTCACGAGAGCTTTCGTCGTCGTACTCATCGTCATCCAATGTGTCCGAGTCACCCTCACCATCTTCTACATCAGAGTCGTCTTCGGTAGAACGCTTCCGTCCAATGTCATACAGGCGACTGATGGAATCATTATCGTCCACATCCCCAGCCTTTAGAAATCGCCCTTCAACGACAGACAAAACTGTGCTATTAGTGTTCAGACTGAGGTCGAATACGGGACGACCAAGATCAACGGTCGCGATATCTCTGTAGTCACGTGCATCCAGCACGCGGAACCACGACTTCAGCTTAGATTTTCTGCGTTCCAAGTAGTTGCCCTAGTTAGAAGAGCAACAAGCAAGTCAGTCTCATACACATCCGCAAACTTCAGTCAAAGCACACTACTCACTCCCGCGTATGGATAATACGCAAACAACACACTACCGGAAGAACTAAACTTGATGCTGCACTTGTCCAATGCAGGCACCATTCGTAACAACCGATACGTACGAAGATCCCACACTGCCGAGTTCACGATCACTTCATTGCCATTCAGATGGAAAAAGCCACAGCCGACATTTGACAGCTTGTCAAATTTGTACAATGCGCGTGTCGGAATGCGAGCGTCCCAAAGCATACCATCCGTAAGGATTGTGCTGTCGCAAGGCGAAAAACAACAATTAGTTTCTGCACCATAGCCATTCGAGCGCATTGCATCCTTCAAGTCGCACAACACGTCTCCTGTAGCAATGTCCAGAACAACAGCACCATTGGCGACACAGCCTGGCCCTCCCAATCCAATGTCATCATCATTAGAGCTGGCGTCAAGTGTAACAACGCGGTCGCCGTAATGATTGAATTGAGGGCGAAGACCACCCTTAAAACGCCATCGCTCTACGAGCGCACCCGAGTCGTTCGCATCCCAGAGTGCAACTTCGTTTACAGCAAGCTCCGATAGCGCAACAGCCCCAGTTAGTAGCAATCGACTCTGACAACCCACGGACGTCGATTCGTTTGTTTCCAAATCGACAATAGCACTCGATGGCGAATGACAGGTCCATTCTTCCACAACTGCATCAGACTCGATGCTGAATCGACGTAACTCACCATCGTGATTGCCAATCAACATATCTTGCTGATCCTGGCCGTAGAATCGAGCCACGCTTACCCCGCCCCACGCAAACGCCCCTATGTGAGCCCCGACGGTACGGAATGGCCGGTAGCGGCTGAACACATAACGGTCAATCCCAGCATCAACATTATATGATGAGAATGCCGAAGACCCGACACGATAACCCGTCCGGCTACGCCGCAATAGTCTAGAACAAACGCTTAGCTTTGACAATGCGGTTGTAGCTGGATCTGGGCAGCGGTGCTGCGCTCCTTTGCCCAATAGCTTAAACGGTGGCACAGTCGTAACAGGGTTAGCACATTGGCGGTGCTGCTCTCTTAGATAATGCGTGATTATTTCATCCAGCTTGCTTGTTGCAGATGCAAGAACTCCATCGTCGTTCGAATTACATCGCGTACTTGTCGGAAGCTTTTGCAAAGCGTCGGAGCAAGCTGCCTCGACGACGCCTCGGGGAGATGCTGCCGATCGTTCCACAGCTATGTCTTGAAAAAAATGCGGTTTATGGAGCGCTTGTCGCATCCGTTTTCGGTACAAAGTGGATGGAACGGACGACATGACATGTCCACCCTCACAGTCCAATTTTCGAGGAGGGCCCGCGGCATCTGCAATCCGCATATTCTTAACCTCGGGCACAATCGACGTTGACAACCGCTGCATTTTCTTGGGACGTGCTGTATCGCTGTCCATTGAATGCCCACTCTCACTCCGAGCTAAAACGCCAGGTGGTACTGCGTGATTAACAACTGCCTGCTTTCCAAGTGACGGTGACCCTTTCAAATTCGAAAAAGGCTTTTCCACTTCACCTACAACTTCATTTGTCCGAGACAACAGTGCATCCAAAGTAGGAAGAGCTTTACGTGCCCTCTCTGCAAAAACGTTCGCTTCGTTTACAAGCGCTGCTGCAGCATGACGCAAACCTTTCTTTAGCAGATGATCGTGAATCAATCGCAAAAGCTCGTTCTCGTCGTAAGAAATTTTCGTGTGTGCAACAATGCTCGCCTTTTCGATCTTCTTTACCGTTGGGTCCGTTGCCTCGTTTATTACCACGCTGGACGCCCGATGCGTCACGTGAGAAATCAAATCCAAAGCAGATTCTCGAAAGCGTACATGAATGTCAGCATTTTCCTCCAAAACAGGATCACTCCGAATCATGTCAGACAGCAATTGCCCAACTTGCATCTTCTCGATAATTTGGGAAATATGACGGTCACGGGAAAGTCCCAGCAAAGCTCGAGTCGCCAGCAATCGAATGACATCAGCGTTTTGAACAGAGCGCTTGTAGCGAAGTAGGTACACACACACTTTAATTGCATTTCGCTCACGAGCCAACTTTCGCACGGGTCGTAACATCTTGTCATCTTTAGCCTTCGGACAGCAGTTCACACAACTGTCAGGTGTAATTGCACTCGATTCCTCGTCTGTCGCCTCTGAGCTTACACGCTGCAACTTGTCATCCTTCTGCGCTCGCATGCTCCGAGCTGTCAGAGTGTACTGCCGAATGTCTTTGTACGGATGTTGCCAACAGTCTTCTTGGTGAGGAGGGGATACACAGTTACAAAACACTTGTAACACACTGCGTACCAGCTCGGAATCTCTCGGGTTACTGCTCATCGCAATATCTAGCAAGATAGTTATACCGAGCTGTTTTGAAGTGCTACCCCCTTCATCTATCAGCACTTCTGTTGAACACACTTCATTGGCCAGAGATGGGACCACAAGCGTCAACACCCGAAGGCAATCCAAACAAAATTGTGCGCGCTCTGCGGTCCAAATTCGAATCGTACAAGAATTAGCCTCCGGATCGGTGCTTTGCAGTACTGAGCACATCATAGCTATAACCTCAAGAAGCACGAGTATGCCCCGCAAATGACTCAACTTGGCAGCAGGAGCCCACATCCCACCGCTCGGGCCAGTCGCAGCAGACCACGAGTTACTGGAGTTGCCACTGGTGGCACTAAAACGATACTTCTCATAAAACACCATGTTGACTTCGTGACTTTTGTCGTCGAGATCAAAAGCTTTCGACCACGTCATTTTCGGAACTCGTGCTGGGATACGTGACGTTGCAGTGGCCGCTGTTAGTGCAGGCACTGCGTTCAATACCCGGTTCGATGGATGATTCAGTTGAGCCAGCTTTTTCCTCAATCGATGAGTCACTAATGCCATATGCATGTGCACGTATTGACGCAAGCACAAACATGCGTCTTGAGCGAGTTGCCTTTGTGCCGAAGATTTGGGATGCTTGCCAGCACGAATGATATTTAGCACAGTGTACAACCCGTTATGCTTTTCAAAGTAATCAAGTATAACCCTGAAGCCTAGGGTCAGACCAAAGAAAACCACCGCATTCTGCCTTGCTCGGTCATTCGGGCTAGAAAGCAGCGTAAATGCGGCTGACAACATATTTTCCGAGTTTGCCACTACAAGCCGTTCAACAACAGCTGACGACGAAGCGAATCCATGCAAACACATTGACAGGCTACGGTCCAATAGACCTAACTGACCAGCAGCCTGTTGTGCTTTGAATACAGAAAACAGTAAATCCACTCCTCCACTTTCAACCAAAGTGAGAGAAAATTTCTTGTGAGCAAGGAAGTGAGACGTCAGTGTCATTGTGTGGGATATCACGGCGGGGTTCTTGCTGTGCAAGAATGTAATGATCGTTCCGACGATGTCTTCCTTCAGCGCTGGCGCAAACATCTCCAAGTATTCACCCATCGACCCCAAACAGTCCAAAGTATACAACAGCTCCAGCATCACTAGACGCTTAAAATCTTCTTCATGATGGTCGAGATTTGGCATGCCAACGACCCCATCTTCACCAAAACTTCCCATTGTATCTTCTTCATGACTTGAGGTCGAGAACGATGGCTGACTTGGAACAGTAGCAGTCGGCTCATCTTCGTCAGCACCAAAGTCCGAAGCAGTGTCCCCACTTTCCATGCAGTCATTTCCGTGACCCGTATTGCGACTATTGATGCTTTCCAAGTGCTTGCGCTTCAACGACCGCTGCGTCATCAGCGCTTTTGTGGACCCGCTTCCGCCATTGTTGACTATCTTCTTGTGGCGTGAAGTTGCAAGCAAACACAGATGGTCTTGAATATACTTGACTGCTTGCTGCCGCTCTTTTTCCAATTTAGACGCAAACATTCGCGCTCTCTTCAGCAACTTGACGGGTGTGTCAGTATTTACAACTGTGTCTGCAATCGAGCGGTCCCGCAGTCCTACGGACAAGAGTCCAGTAGCATAACATCGCAATGCTGGATCGCTATCTATCGCGAACCCACACACACGTCCCAACATCTCATCATCAGCGTCCAACATGTGCACAATCGCTCGGCTATTCACTGGCACTGTAGCCAACAACAGTCGACACGTCGCTGCTTTCACGCGACTTCCACTTCGATCCGAAAGTTTTTCTTCGAGCTACCAACGAAACAAGAGAGAGAAAAAATGAGTCCATCACTTCCTCAAGACAGCCCGTCAGCTTCCATATCGTACCATAGGGTAAAAATCCTCATTCTGTGCAAGCTCCTGCAACAAATTGCCTATCAAGTGGCCTGCCAGCACAAAAGTAGAAACACACGTGGTCCACACAAATAAGCAATCGACCAGCCAGCCAGGTGTACCCGAGCATAACCAAGCACAGGCTCAAGCATCGATACAATTGGTGGTACGCCGTACCGTCGCGACGATATGGCGACGTCCGCTCCTTGCGGAAATTTGTCTCCACCTCCTCGAGCGTCTCGGCGATCCTGTCCAAAGAGTCAAATCAGAATTCCGTATTACGTCATCACGAAGCGCTTCAGATGCGACATGTACACGCTGTGGCCAATCATCTACACGCACATGTTGAGCTTCGTGCTGGTCTCGTCGTCCGACAGCGCAGACGCCGAGGACGGGTCCGTCTGCGTGAGGTCCTGCGACAAGTGGAACACACGCGTCTCCAGAGAGTGCGTCATCGTGTCCTCAGCGCTCGCGGTCGCTGATTCGGCCTGCGAAAGCGGCGACGCGGCTGGCGAGAGTGACGACTCCATCGAGTGCAAGTAAGTGTCGGAAAAAATGGACGTCGAGAAGGTGCGGTCGAGCAGCTATTGGCTGAAATTCGATTGAGGTCACCGACGCGACCGATAGGGGCACCACGTTGTGTCTATTTTATGACGCATCGAGTTAGCGCTACTTCAGTCGAAAACCCGGTCGGACGAGCTGCAGTGTCGTTATTTCTAAACCTTTCAAGCAGGTTCGTCAGCATTTCTAAGCGCTAGCGTCCACGTCTGTCGCTCATCAATCAGACTAAACGACATGGTGAAAGCGAAAAGCCGAGGTTGCGCTCACGCAAGCGTCAATGTCATTGGAGAAACATATACAAGACGTGCGTAGATGATGCGTCTGCCAACTACCGCGATCTTGCCGTGACGGCAGCTCTATCGCTATGTTTACGCCCACGGAAATGAGTGCTGCTGTCAAAACGCTTTTTCCTCAATCGACGCGAAATACCGGTACACCCAATCGATTCGTACCGGTATTCTCGCCTTCCATTCGGACCACACGGCCTCCCTCAACCAGCCCCCGCGTGATCCCGTCACGTGGAGCGAGTCATACAAAAAGCAAGATACACCCCTCCCCGGCACATGTCATTTTCCTTCAACTTTGCTCTGGACGCCAGCACATGTGCGACGTCTTCGTCTCCGTCTGTGACGCCGTCGACAGTTTCCGTACGACAACGTGACGGCGAGCGGTTCACCTCCAAGCTGTGTGCCCCTCCCCCCGTCTTTTCTGCTGTCCAAGTCGGAGACGTGACGTTCGAGATGGTGCAGACAACGAGTGCGGACTTTGTCGCGCGTACAGGCGCCATTGGCTCGTTTTTGACGACCACGGACGTCCAGACAGGAGTCTACGAGGGCGGGTTCAAGCTCTGGGAGTGCGCTTTGGACCTCGTGAAGCTGCTGGCGACGCAGCGGCGTCAGGGCGCTACGATGGCTGCGTCCGTGCTGGAGCTGGGCTGTGGCCACGGTTTGCCAGGGATTTACGCTCTGCAGCAGGGTGCAGAGCTGGTGACGTTTAGTGACTACAATAAGGAGGTGCTGGAGCTCACGACCTGCCCCAATGTGCGGCGAAATGTGGACGAGCAGATGTTCGAGAGAGCCGAGTTTTATGCTGGAGCGTGGAGCGGGATGTCCCAGTACATGGAGACAGTGGAGCTCAAGACGCAGGATCAGATGCAATTCGATCTGATCTTGACAGCAGAAACTATTTACACGGAGGCAGTGGCGGTGGAACTGTACCAGGTGAGGAGGGGAGGGTGCAGCAAGAAGGTGTTGATGGTTAATAGGGTTTTGATGATTGATGGCTGTTCATTTGTTTGTTTGTGTGTGTGTTGTTTTCAGACGATTAAGCGCCATTTGCGTCGTGCACCGAACGCCCGTGCGCTGGTTGCTGCCAAGAAGTACTACTTTGGGACGAACGGCAGTATACAGCACTTTGTCGGACTTGTGCGAGCAGACGGTGTGTTCACGGCTGACACGGTGTGGCAAGAGCGCGACGGTCGATCGAATATCCGCGAAATTGTGCAACTCACATATGTGGATGAGTGCTAGGGTTTGGAGGTGTGATGGTGTACCTTACACTGCATGGATGAAGCGAGGGCGTTGTGTTCGTCGGCAAATGGAGAATGCTGGCAATCGATTCGTGTGTATCGTGTGCGTGAAGAATGACTCACGTCTTGATCTCTTTTGTGTGCGGTCAAGTCGTAAAGCACGGGTCATTACCATGTCAACGAGTCAGACATTGGCAGCACTCGTACAAAGATTTGGTCACTCCGGCAAGATGGGCATGTGTGATCGCGGAAAATGCCGTGACCCGGGCGATTACATGCTGATGACTGCCTCTGGCGAAGGTTTTTTACACGTAAACCATCAAGGTTGTCCGTTAGAAGGACACGCGCTGCGTTGCGCATACCGTAGCAATTTCATGGGGAGGGGTCCAGGTAAACTGTTTTTGTGTTTCTAGATGCTGTCGCCGTGTACCACAAGGGAATGTAGTAGCTTGCACAGCACCCGCGGTGTCTTTCACCTAGAGCAATCGAGCAGAACACGCTTCCTGAGTCGTTCTACATAGGGGCTATGTACTCAATCGGCTGTTGGAGTCACTTCAACCTCTTATTGACTCTGATCTCGATCTCGCGTCGCTATTTCTAAGCAATGCTAGAAATTCACATGGCAGAATTCTGTGAACACACCGAACTTAGTGTAGACAAAAACTATGACACGAGACGCTGTGAGTTACATTTTCAGAAAATACGCTCATGTGGTTTTATTGTAAACTGGTAATTATTAAGGTCACGATGACCGCATACCTTCCTAACTGAATACAGTGTGCATAGACGATATTCCAGCACGCAGATATAGTAGAAGCGAAGCACAATCGTTATCGAAATGATTGCACAAGGTGATGCAGATACAACAGATGTGCAGGATGTACTGAAATGGTGTTTAATACAGCGAGTAGTGTTGTATGTGCAATGCATGACCAGAAGCAGTCGCTTACTCATAATTGGTACGTAACCCAATAGCCGCTATGGTGAGAGAGACCCTACTTCGATGAGCCGAATGCGCAGCTTGCATACGACCGAATTTCTCTGGTTCGACACGATTGAACAAAGTCCGGGATGCAAACGCAGATGATCGTAAGTCATGCTAGTACAACACGAGATTAATCTTGCACTGACATTGTGCCACTTATAACACTGATTGGAGTCGAGGTCGGCTGTCTCTGCGGCGCTAATGACAAAGTACAGTCCAGTCAGCGACGTCCAAATCGGAGTGACTACAAAGACAACATATTCGCAAGGATGTTACAACAAAGTTTAAAACCATACGTACATGACAGAAGTACTCTGTCTTGCGCTCGACACGACAATCGCGTCATTTACCTCAATTTGCATACTATCGTGGTACAAAGAGGTCTGCATCACGTGTTGCAACGTGTTTTCTGAAAGCATGTCAATGATGTGAGAGTGGTCTACGTTCGGGCGTGTAACCGCAATACGAACACATATAAAGCGGATCACCTTATTCGAACATTGCTGTCGCCTCAACACCCTTTCCCCGACAAGTGCTGACGATTTACCTTGACGAGGAGCATCGTGCATTTGTACATAACTCGTTGAAAACCTTATCGCTAAGTTACAGCGATACGCTGAAGGTTAACGGAATAGCACTATCTCGTTAACACTTCCAGCTTCCATCCTGCAATTTTTGAATTCCGCCTTCTCTAGCACTTTGTGAGAAACTGCTCCGAGATGCATGTGTGCGGTTCGCAACACCGAGTCAAGGAGAATCGAAGCGTGAAGCTTATGAGAACAATAATTTGATAACTACTGGTGATAACGTTGATTATGTTCACAGTACATTACAGTCACAAGAATCAGGGGTTCTCCCGTGGCGCCTTGGGTAAGCAACGCCGTTCCATCCAATGAGTGCCGGTTCGACCCTCCTTACTATCAACCGGAGGTCGTAAAATAATGTGTGACACATGAGTCTCAGCTGTACCACTCGGGAACACGGTGGTACCACTGAGCTCGGCCCCTCGTAGAAGCATAAACCCCCAACATCGAATAGTCGGGGGCCCTGGACTGGCTGATCCCCATAGAATTTAGTAAATAGTGGCCATCCCCTGGTTGGGGATGTGTAGGCCCGGCCAAAGAGGGCAGACGTTGGTCGTTAGAAATGCTGAATGTACCCACTGCACCTACTAAACAAAAAACAAAAAATACAGTCACAAGAACAACTGGTATTCCAAAACACGATTCAGCTTCTATTTCAGTTAGTAAACGTGACCGCCATTATAGTCTGCTTCCAGGCACACTCACGAGTACTTGTTTAGTGCAATCTTCCACTTCTCTAGCGTCTTCAAACGTTTATCGCGGCTCTGTTTCGACTTGATCATCCCAACACAGCTCGTCACCTCCTTCAAGCACTTGCACATAAGTCGTTCCAGACAAGGATTCCATGCCTTTGCTTTGAACGTGACGACACCGTTGATCGTACTAAACACCTTGTCAAATTGATTCGTGGAGAAATTCCCGTCTCGCCATTGTTGAACTTGATTCATTACAGACAGTAGTCGACCGTGCATTTCTTCCATTTTCGAGACCTCTTTCAGCGCTTGGACGTCCACTGTCGATCCTGATAATATAGTCTTCTCATCCAGCAGTGCGTGTATGTTTGTAGCAAGTCTGTGAGCAAAAAAGATGTAGAAACAGTTAGACATCAGAAAAATTTGGTCCAACCCGACTACCTTTGATCAGCGCATACCTGCACCATTCCGCTCTCTTCTTCATTCCTGACAATTTGGTACTGTAAGCAGTGATACTATTTGCGAAGCGAGCATATTCCTTCGCTAGATCACCCTGAATCGGAACGTCTTTGATCCAGCGAAAAACGCTGGTAATAGATTGCCGCACATCGACTTGGCGCACACACGAGTCATCACCTGTCATCACTTGCTGAATTGCCGCAAGAGCTTTAGTGATTAGCTTCGCCTTTTCTTCTGGTGGTTGTGCGTGCACGCTGTCGACAAGTTTGCAATGAGTTAGAAGCTGAAGTTCCGGTGAGTTAACCACGCTCGTAGACATTGTATCGGAAGAGTCGTGTTGCAAAAAGGCTGGGATAGTCATAACAACACTCTGCAATTGAGCTCGAGCTCTGTTTTACGATACGAACACACAAAAAGTTAGCATTCCCTTAGCACATAGAGCAAATCGTGCACATATCGCACCGGTGGATAACATCTGTAAGCGTCTCGTTCTCCATGCACGCATCAGTTATCGCAGCGAGCGCAGATCGCGCTTCCTTTGCGTATTCAGCCGTCCACTCAAGCTTTGTAAATACTTCGGCTGCGGCTTCGAGCGCACGAGCGGCCTCGTTGGCTGCTGCTTTGTCTATTGTATCAGCATCTTGGATAGACTGATGTTTGAGGACACGCTTGGCATCAAACAAGGCGAGTGCCCAGTTCCCCTTGGATTGCAGGTGCATTCTCTTATTGACCATCTTTAGCTCCAATATTGTCGTGAGGGCATCATGAGCCAGAGAGAAATCATTACTCGGCTTCTTTGCGTCCGCCGACTTCTCCTTCTTAGCTCCACCCTCGACCGCTTCGTCCTCATGAGACTTCGCGTGTCTCTGTTTCTTCTTGTGTGGTTTCTCGCCGTCTTCTTCGCTTGGTAAAGATGCCTCCTTCTTGATTATTGTCGTCCCATTAACGTCAGTTTTGTCCTTCCCCTTGCGTTTTCGAGTAGCTTGTATCCCATTTCCGCTTGATCCATCATTTTCGTTTCCTTCTTCCTTCAAAGGTGATACGTCCATCACTGTCATCCCCGCTGCCAAGTTCTCCAGTCGCATTGTCAAAGTCTTTTGCAGGTCAAGTGTAGTGTCCATTGCGTCGAGGAGACTCGCGCTGCAATTATTGGACAATTTGCCTTGATTTAGCTGGTTTACAGCATCGCGCACTTCGCTCACCTTGATGAACGTCGCCATGACATTGTCAATGGAACCCTGCAAAGTTGAATATTCGTCACAGAGAACGCAATTTGAGCCGCGATAAAGTTCCGGTGGCGTCAGTAGTGACAGGATGCGTCTGTACAGCGCTATGGTGTCGGCCATGTTGGTGTGCTTATTGCTTGTCAATTTATGGACAGTGTGGAACCATTCAATTTAACCGTTCGGAATCGACGTTTTAGTACCGGGAATTATCTCGGAAGTGAATGGCATTATTTTCGACAACTCCGTGCACTTTTTGTCAGCACCAAGCACCAAAATAGACACAAGTTGACAGCGGCGTGAGCTTCACCCTATTTGTTTTTCGAGAGGAATAATCAGACAAACGGTACGATGTTTACTGCTTAAATGGAGTCTTTTAATATTACATGGAGATCAAATCTACCCAAACATGTCGAAGTGAGAGTTGATGACGTTGTCTTATATTTGAGTAGTGGCATCTGGCGAGGATGAGTGAGTTGCAAGTACTGAACCTCATCTAAAACCTTTTTGAAGGTTGTCCGCTACTCCTGGAGTCGCGTGCAAGTCAACTTCCAACTTCTTACCCTTCTACCCTCACGACGATGATAAAGAAGTCCTACAAGCGACTTATTTAACGGAGCAAGACGTTGAGTTTCCATTTCATACTCGGCAGGAGGTCGACCGCTTTTTTGTCCGAAAATTTGTTGTGATCTTGGGCTCGACTAATGTGACTGAAGTTGGTCGCTCGTAGACTGCAGTGCTAAAAGCAACGATATGTATTTGAGTCGAGCCAATGCTTGCAGGCGAATCAAAGTTTGTGCGCCACTTGGTATTGAGATCAATTGAGCACGTTAATTGCATTCCTGCTAACGGAGCTCTGCACGCACGATGTAGCAATGCCCGTAGCCCGCCCGATGCAAGAACTCGCTCGATCGACATTTGCGCCTATCAAAGCGTATAGCTTCGTGAATATCCCAAGATGCGACTGATGCCGCCAAAGCTTTGGAAGCGATCTTGTGCAAATGACGAACAGGATGTGAACAGTACCACTTCGCAGTCTCTTCCGTACAAGTAAAGACTTCCCTGACCTATGAAAAAGCACATCGCACATAATCAGGGTATAGCAGGTGACAGCTAATCGCATTTGTCGTCACGAGACAGCCGCTTACTTATTCTATAGCGCTGAACGTGTGCTCAGCAGCCTTCTTGGGCTTGTAAAGTACAACTGAAAATTATTTTGCTAGTAGGAAACCGCCTATATGTCTCCAAATCGTATGTGTCGAGGCAACTCGAATCGATACACGATGCACTGGAATTTGGCCTTGCTTGTCGCCAACTAGCATGTACTCAATAATTATTGACGTCGGAGCTATTTTGCCCCGGTAAGTGCCCGAGGTCTAACATGGAAGCCACCACACGTCCAACATTCATATCGCATGATAAAGACATTACTACAAATGATATAGAGTATCATTCTCCACATACGTTTCGCTCAACATTTGTCTTGATCGTGATAATGTCTCTCTATTTCTCAATTCGTTCCTGAAAAACAGTGCATCTCTTTGATCTGGAGAACGACAGCACTCACATGTGCATGCGAATTGCATTTGCCTCCTTCGAAGCACACAAGTGAGGTGTGCAAAATGAATCGAAAGGATTATGATTACTTGACGCCTTCTCGATAGAATACACAGATGCCGAACAATTCAGTCTGGCCAACATATCGACAAACATGCAAAACAGGACGTATTTGGCTAACGATTTTAGTCCAGCCAAGCAAGGTCCATGGCCTTTCCTAGAGTCTGCTGTAAACTTAGTGCGTCGGACATACGAGTTGTGAACACGTGAACTGTTGGATGAATAGACTGCTGCTCGATATGACTTTGGCGCCATGTAGCAAACAAAAGCAGCTTTGCTTTGGTGCAAGTTTTTGTCGGAAGGTGCGGGCACAGAGTACGGTATACAAAAGTTAGCCTGCTGCAAAATATTTTACGATACAAGACTGCCATCGCCCGTGTGGCAGCAGCAACTCAAGACTGATGTTGAGCAAGATCTTGAGAAACCAATTGTGCGCTGCTACCGTTTGCACAACAGTTAGCACGTCCCTGCCGACGTTTTGTAGGTGTATGGTAGCGACTCGTCCACAGAGAAAAGAAGACAGAATTCTCAGTCATCTGCAGATGCGTCCGGCCTTCGTTTAGGTTGGCCAGCAATTTTCTTTTTCTAAAAACAAGGATTTGTGCTGACGCTGCGTGCATCCTCCGGTCACAAGTGAGATATATTTGTTTCGGGCAATTATGTGTTCTTTGTTTACCCGAATCTGTCAAATAGCCCGTGTAAAGACAACATCTCGCGTGTCAGTAATGGTCTGGCTTGGTTGATGCAAGCAATTGTGTTTAGCACGACAGCAAACACGCAGAGATGATGGTGAAGCTGCACAATAAGAGACTTACTCTCAGAATAATTATGCTCAGCAAGGTACGTGCCATTAATCCATTGAAGCGCTTCAATGCGAATAAGTTATCAACGATTTCGATAGAAGCGAACGGATATAAAGCCTTTGGACGCCTACCAGGTTTATCGATTGGTCGTTAAATGACGTGACATTATATAACATGCAAAGCACTCATCTTGTCGGCTCGTCTTTCACAGTGGTAAGCTTGGTTTGCCACACAATACATACATGTTGGAGGGTGTGATTTCTGATCACCAGTCATCTCAAGCTTTGGATTGTGGACGTCTACCATCCAAGATTCGATTAAGCACCAAAGTAGGATTGGATCGTGCCCGAAAGGTGCTACACACCGGGCAGGCATACGACACATGGCAGCCTTTGATATAGTGATAAGAGCTATAACGTTTGGTTGTTTGCATCAGCCGTCTACTGCGTCGTTACCTGCGTTCTTCGGTACGCGCAATCAGTACGAACTGATGTACGTGCAAACGCCAAATAGGTATTGCATTTAAGCCAACAGACGATCGCTGCACCTCCGAAGAAAAGATTGATCGGAGACAGAAGCTAGCATACACAGTTACGACTTCAGCGTCGATAAGTATCGATCTAGGAATACAACCTCAGGTGCACAACCAAACAATCCCTCACTACTGTATTTACCATGTTTATCGAAACAAAAGTGTTGACGTTGCAGCAAGCCACTGCTATCGCGAGTGCTTTCGGTACACTGCTGCTACAAGAGTCAACACAACATGAAGCGGGCGACCTGAATCCCACCTACAAAGGTGATCTGTTCGGTGACCAGCACGCAACCGTAGATCGGCGTATCCTATCCCGGATTCTCGCATGGAGATAATTTCCTGATTGTTCTTATCGAACAAAATCGTTTCCACATGATCTCTTGCGAACCTAACGATACGCTAAGCAACTATAGATCCACAATACGTCACTCAAAGCTTTCATATACATCTTGTCCCCAGGTTGTTCTTCAGCTGTGCCTCTTCTAGCACCTTCTGCTTTGTACAGAAAATGTTACGTCGTGCAACGGGATGGCACAAACGCGATCTATAGATGAGCGTGGCGAAAAGGCTGGACTAGATCCATGCAATTCTTTGCTCTGGATTTTATTACCACCCTGTGAACATGTTTATTCATTACACAGCTGTAAAATTATGGTCAGTGACGTGCAGGATCATCGCCTACCGTAAACGATTAGTAAAAACCAAAAAAGTTGTGCCGTCAAACTGTACCTGTAAGCGACTCGCGTCGGGCACCGATGGCGAAATCGTACTTCGGATGTGAAATCACACATGTAGTATCGAGGTGAGCATGTTAACAAGTTAGGTCTTACCTGTCATGAAGACCTGTACCTTGCTTAGAATTACTTTGCTGATATTGCTATTGTTTGAGTCGAGCTAGCAATCAGTCGAATAATGTCGAAGTACTTGCGATTCGTCACCATTCGGCTAATGCAAAGGTATCTAGTGTGATGACCTATGTGACTCAGTGGTAGCTGTTGTATCATTTTTGGAATAAAACAATAGCTTCCCGCTACAAAACGACAAATTTACAGCATTCAACTTGACCGCGCATGAGTGACAAACTCGTATCACTCATTACTAGTAACGAATGACTTGTCTACTGGAGCCAGTGTAATACTTCGACAATTTGACTCGCGGCAAATGTACAGGCGCTAATGTAACCCTGTGGGCCTCTCTTTAACCGGAACTGGTGTAAGACTGCAGATCATATATAGGGCTCATCAGATCATACGTGGGACTGGTCAAATCCGAGCTGCAAAAAAGATGCCTTCCCGGATCGATACTGTACGATTGGAGAGAGAGTCTCGCCATTGCAAGGACAGCGCAATTTTTTGTGAAGTTTCAGGACGTTTGCTTTGTCTCGTGATTTTAATCAAGGGTCAGCGGCGCTCGATTATCCTGCAAAAACACGGAGCATAGTGGTGTCGAACAAATTTATATACAAGGTAGTAATTGCCGTTCTCGACATGGAGACTTGACCTGTCGTTTGAGGAACGACAGATTATTATTTTTACGCTTCAGGCTCGTGCTCAAGTACGACATCAACGCTCAAAGGCCGTTTGTGCTTGGCCGAACGTTGTTGGTGCCACTCATCTGTAGACAAAGAGGTATCGTCATTCTGATTGCACAAACCACTCGTTACGAAATCGAATCAGAAGGAGGCACATACTGCCTGTTTGAAGACGTCGATTCGCTTTGCCACGCTTGGCTCTCTCGACGCAAATCGATCCAATGATCTCCAGATTTGCGTAACACAGCGTTTCATCGACGACGTGAGGAACGTATTCCAAAGTCAGATAATCGTGCGTGCATCAACATGACATGCGTCGGCAAGACTGAGGAAATTCATCGCAGTGGTAAGTGAAAAGAGCAACAATCCTATAACTTGTGATAGCTGGCACAAAACAAAGCTGCGGCGTAGGCTGTCTTAGAAATGCGCTTTCAGGGACAATGATTGTCGTTGAATAGCTTGAGCAAGAGGTGAGCATTTCCGGTGTAATTCGAGCATCAGATTCAGTACGGTCACACATTCCCTTTACCAAACTTCGCACGCACCAACTCTTCCTGTAAAGACAAAGTGGAACGATCCTTTCGTTTCGAATGACTGTTTGCGTAATTTCTCGACCGATCTGACATAGCAGTTAAATGGTGACCAGTTTTCACTCGAGTGCACATACTATCCAAGAGCAGCACCCAGTCGAGAGCTTGCCACTATAGTAGAGTGCTTTCAACTATCGAGCGCGTTTATATGCCAAACAGTCCGAGTGGCGTCGACACTCCGTGCCGTTTTTTGCGCGGCCTTGTTGCTTCTGTTTATCTCCTTTTTTAGATTGAACGACATGACTGAAAGTGTGGCAATGACCCCTTCAAACAAACACGCGCCGTCAAGCGGTTCAGTAGCAGAACTCACATGCTTATGTCAAGCCTGAGTAAACTCACGTCTACATTCATGAAACGTTGTCAAGCCTGAGCAAATCATGTCCACAAAGAAACGGCATCCCGATCCTGCACCTTGCTACCTCACAATTCGGCTACGCCCTACGACTTGCCAGATTTCTATCTGAGGGCAATAAATGGGCCGCATTGCTGGAAGCTGATTTACACCACACCCTGGCGGAACATGGCAGAAGCCACGCTCATGAAAGCCGTGATGTTAGCGCCCATGTGGAGATCGCCTGCAGCATTAAATTCCTGCGCAGAAGCTGCCACGCGATCGTAGAGCTCATACATGTACTCTAAACAACCATAAGCGGGAAAACACACACCTAGTTAGAAAATCAGTCACACACAAACATAATAATAACATCGCACCTTTGACGATCGTGTCCACCTCCTCGTCGGATAGCTGCGTGGACGCTCCGAGGTTTTTCGTGATCAGCGCAAAGGAGCCACCATTTAGAGCCTTGTTCGGGCCGAAGGCCAGACCGTGCTGCTTGATAAGACTTACGGCCTCGTCTGTGCAAGGAAAATTGGCACCTTCAAAGATGCCCTTGCAGCCGTTTTTCACAAGCAGACGCACATCATCAGCATTCACGTCGTTCTGAATAGCGCACGGAAAGGCGTAGTCGCAAGGTGTCTCCCACAAACGGCCTTCCTCTATTGGGTGGTAGTTGGCCGTGGTGGACGACATGATGTAGGCACCAAGACGCGCGTTGCGCTTTTCCTTGATGCGCATGAGCTCCGCCAAACTTTTCTTTGTAAATCCTTGGTCCTCGATTACGTAACTAAAGTTGTCGCTCATTCCGATCGGGATGGCGCCCAGATCTAAGAGCTTCTGCGCAACATTAATCGCCACGGTGCCACTACCCGAGATAAGACAGCGCTTTCCCTTCATTGACTCGCCACGGGATTCGAGGATACGATTGGCAAAGTGGGCCACACCGTAGCCCGTAGCCTGTGGATAATGGTAAGCACCTCCGCTCAGAATCCCTTCAGTGCCTCCAGGGTGAAGCTGACGCAGTCGCTTGTACTGTCCAAACATGTACCCAATCTCCTGTGGTCCAACACCTACGCCTGACGTCGGCACATCCGTGTGCGGACCAATGTAATTGGCCAATTCCGTCATGTACGACTGGCAAAAGCGCATGATCTCCGACTCGCTCTTGTCCATTGGATTAAAGTCCGAGCCACCATGCGCCCCGCCGTAGGGACCGGCCAGTGCATTGCGAAAGATGGTTTCAAAGCCCAAGAACTTGGCGATACCGTGTGTCGTCTCTGGGTGGAATCGCAATCCACCCATATACGGACCCAAAGCACTGGAGAACTGGACACGGAAGCCACGATTGACGCGGCTGCTTCCCTCGTCATCAATCCACGGCACTCGAAACTGGATCACACGCTCTGGTTCCATGAGCGTCTTCATCACCCACGCGTACTTGGGGTACCGGTCAAAAACGGGTACCACGGAATTGACAAAGTTTTGCACGGCTTGTACGTACTCTTCCTGTAGGAAGCGGACCACGGTGGTTGTTAGCTCCTTCAAAAGAGGAGAGAAAGAGCTACAGTTTGGTGTACAAGGGGGTTCGGTACCTGGTTGGGATCACGACGAATCACCTCGTCGGTTAGCATGTCGGCAGCCTCCTGGCCGTTGCGAAACCGCTTGTCACCTCCGCGACGAAACAGCGGTTTGTTTTTCCAGTGCTTCTTGCCGTGCGTCGTGCCGTGCACGTCCGACATTAGCGACGAGCTGGCACGCACGAACGCGGCTGCAACGCGGGGCGGAGTGCGGTGGGCGAGCGATGCCAGCATGAGAGGGAGGGGGATTGGGGCCAAATGCTGGACTGGGGGATGCGGGTCAATTAGATAGTATGGAGTTGTTAGGTACGATAGTAGTGCTGTTAATACCGGTGTACTGGCTGTGGGCTGATGTGGTAACCGTGTACGATGGGATTATGTGTGGAGCTCCAGCGTGCCAATTGATCAGATCTAGTACCTTTCCCAACTGTTGTACTAATATCTCCACGATATTGTGTGTGGCTGTACTAAAGTACACCACATAAAAAATGGCTGACAACACGCACCCGCTCATCGATCTGCGTCAAGTATACACGACGACAGAGCTTTCGCTCGGATAAAGGTTCGAGTCCGGATCCGAGCCACACACTTTCTTCAAGACTACTACTTGAATGCAAACAAAATTTGCATCATGACAAGCGGCAGTGGGAAATGCACTAAGTACAGCTGTGGTGACAAGGAATGCACGTGGGGAGTGCGCGTAAGTCGGCGAGTGGATGGGGCTATGTACGTCTCTACAATCAATGAAAAGCACTACGAGTTTGGTGCGTCCATGTCAAAACCAACTCAACGATGGATACGCTCACTTCGAACATTTCAAGCGGCCAGCTGTGGCGACAGGAACATGAAGCTCAAGACGCTGGCGTCACTCACTCAAGGTCGCGCCAACTTGGAAGCGAATGGATCAAAGCTGTACAGAGCAAAGAATGAGGTGGTCGACATCTTGATGGAGGATGGAGTGAATATTTCTTAAAACTGCCTAATCTGCTGGCAGAACTTCGCAAGAACTAGTAAGGAACGACCGTGCAACTTGAAGTCGATCAATGCAGTCGCTTTCTACGCTTATTTCTAGTGTTTGGGGTGAATGTTAACAGTCAGCCACATTTGATTCTAATTCCCGGGTTCGATGGGACGCACTCAATACACCCTTAGTATAACGGGGATGTTCTTTCGCTTCTAGGCAGAGACGGCAACAATCAAATCGTCACTCTTGCTACGGCGCTAGTCAACGTCGAAAATGAAAGTTACGTGAGGTGGTTTCTCTCTCTTTGCGAAGAATCCGGTATTTCTACAACTGATAGGACGGTATTCTGTTACAGTGGTCATATTCAAGCGTCTGTAGTGAAGATATACAGCACTTCAAATGTAGTTATCAAGCTTCGATTTTCACATAATGCGCAACTTGAAGGGCCAACGCAAATACTGCGGGCGTGATTTTGAGAACGCGATATCGGAAGCACAAGCGGACGAAACACAGCAAGACTTTCTTGATTTATATCTGCCATTCAACCTAAATACGGTGATGATGTTGCATCATATATTCTAAATATTGAACCGTAAAAGCTGGTAGGTACACGCAAACATGTCAACCTTCATACCAGCACATGTACCTGCACAGATTAAAACTTCTATTTCGATGCCAATGTTCGGCTAGAGAAGCTCTAATTTTTTGAAAATGACAAGAGCGCGATGATCAAGAATAGGATGAAAGATTTGGCACCTTTCGAAACTCCACTAAAACTTGCCAGTGTCGAAATAGATCGTGCAAGCCAGCGTGATATTAATGCTCGCCAGTGGATTGAGAACGTCCGCGCTCTTACGTCCTATGCAGAGCTCATGCGGGATAAAGCACGCTCTCTTTTCGGTCAGTATGCGGTGCGACAATCTACGATTACGGTCATCCAGGATCATTTATATTTTGTCGTATGGATACAGCACAGCCTTCATGTCCGTGTTCTACGTTCGATCTGTTTATGATCGCTTGCCGCCATATAGTTGCTGCACTACACACGAGTGGAAATCAGGATCGATGTCTGAGAGCGTTCTACTTGTATTATTTTTTTTAAACGTACGTGAAATCGTTTTTAGCAATGAAATTGAGCTTTCACTTAACACGAGTATTTTCTACAAACGAAGTTGGACCTGTCTTCGTTTTACAAGCAGGCTGGACACCCACGCAAGAGACGGTTCCCTAGTACAGGCGACCAAATCCGGCTATGTTTGTCAAACATTACGTCGCTTTGGTCATAACAGATCCACGTGTCATCGGCACGCCAGAGAAGTAGGAGATAATAACGCCGCTATCGTGCCCTATATCGTAGATCTGCCGAGTTCTTTGCAGTACTCGAGTACGACGGCAGAAAATCACAAATGTGTATAAGGCCCCATCGTGTATAGTGTTTCACAGAGCACTGAATAATATGGATGTTTTTATCGCTAGCATTGCTCCCACTAAGATTGCTTCTCAACCATTTGGAGTGTAACGTAAATTTTTGCAGACTTCAAGATATGAAACGAATTAGCAATGCTTGGTACGTATCAATATCGGGCGAAAAATTAAACAAAACCGCTTATACGTGTCACGTGTCTTTAAAGCGACTCAGCCTAATAAACCAAGTACTAACTAGTTAAGTCAAGTAAAGCGCTCGGGGTATAGAAAAAAACACAGTGATGCTGGCCTCTTCTCGACAATCTATACGAAAACAATCAATCAGCGTTTAATTAATTGCGCTAGGCGATTAATCAGCAATTATGTTGTTTCTACATAATACCGCACGACCCAGCATGAACCATGTCTGCCACAGAGCGCTAATCTTTTATCGACGCCAGACCTTGCTGCATCTACAGTCGCATGTCTGTAACTATAGTGTTAGCATTGAACTATTTATACGCTTTGGTGATCAACCACACTTACGGATTGCACCAAAATTGATCGCTGCCCTAGCATTCATGATTTGCACACAATAGAACTGCAAAACCTCGTAAGACAAAACACCTTTCGCTCGATAGCATTAGTACATTTGCATGATCAAAGATTTCTATCCCAGGATACACCTTACGTGCGTCTAAACTGTCCGTTACCCGCAACATACTCACGACTTGTTGCCTTCTTGCCTTTTACCATGTGTGATGCGTGCAACCCTAACCATACTCAAGCGTCATTTTTAATTATTCAGCTATCGGCAACGTACTCAATCAAAGCCAACGAGCGCATCTAATAATATGCGTACTTATTACGAGCCTTTAAATTCTATAGTGGTTGGTTATCGTTTTTTTCGATGAGCTTGTGGTAGTTCACCAGTCTATTTAGAACAGTAAGCTAAAATTGGCCCGTATTAGTTCCTTAATTTGAGTGTACTCTTGTAAATTTCAGCACTTCGAAGACCAATGTGTATGCGCGTGCGATGCGAATGCCATCAGACTGTTAGAGAGAATTGTGACTTCAATGGGTTGACAGCCATTTGTTATGCGGTGTAATGTAGTGTAGCCACACACAGTATCAGGAGGTACGTACTACAATTAAAAAAGGTACTAGATCTGGAAAATTGGCATGCAAGAGGAACTAGTACTATGAAAAACCCTTGTATGTAAAGATTTTTCCAGTACAGCTGAACCCGCCAAATTGTATATGACCTGTTGACCGGAATGTATATCATATATACAATAAGGGGAGAAATCTTAAAAGGTGAAATTGCTGGAAGGTCCTGTACGTAAAGGACTTCGACCTCATGATTATGCGGCACTGCGAGCGCTCAAATTCCCTGTAGGAAGTAAGAGCAAAGTTGAATATTTTTCTTGTATATTACGTATAACAAACTGTTAGAAACGATCATGTTTGACAGGTTCGAGGTTCAAGGGATATACCATGTGACGGTCTCACCTGATTGGCCAGTGGTATTACCAGGTGACATGTGGGACCACGAGGAGACGATCGGAAAGATGAGACAGGAAGATACAGGGCGAAGATGTGACAGATGGGATGGCGAGGTGACAACTTGACGGTTGGGACTAGGCGATACCGTTGCAATGTGTGACCGACGTACGGGATGTGCAGGAAAGACGGATGCCATCAGGGAGGTACATGGTCAAGTTGCAGTGCAGTTGCGGTGTATGTTGTAGCATTGACGAAGGGAAATAGCTAATGCTAAATTCATTTTAATTTTACTTCTAACTGCCTCTGCACAAGTGCACGGCAAGCATCTAAAACTTACAGGTTATGAGCCCAAAAAAGCGCGATGCCGGTGCAGATTACCAAGCTGGACCTGTGGTGGTAACTTACGGTTCCAACAAGACCGACAACCATCACTTAGAAGAAAAGTCGGCAGCGTCCGTAAGGGCGATGGATCAGATGCTGGCTATGCTCGGGGACCTATCCGATCGGATGAATCGAATGGAGTTCGCCCGGACGGAACAAGCCAGCAAGGACCAAAAGGGGTCACCGGAGTCAATTTTCGGCTCGGTGTTGGGAGTGGGAGCGGGGATGAGCCTTTAGGCTCTAGAACACACCCCTCCTCCCTAGAAGTCCCCAAACGTGTCACCAGCGACGCACTTTATGGCAAGGCGTCAAGCGAATGTTGGTCGACGACCGGCAGACCATGTTGCAGCAGATCTCAACATGGGGCCGTTTCCTGAACCTGTACACCACAGACAGGAAGCTCATGCGGGGTACATTCCCGGTGGAGGTATTCCAAACAGGATGTATGGCCATCCTGGATTACAAGTTGCGGGCATGCCGGACGCGCAAGAACGAAAGTTGGCGCTGCAACCCTTTGACGGCAAGTAACTCTACCACATACTTGGTAGTGGGTTCCTTTTATGGGGCAAGAAATTTGTATGTCAAGTCGGATTCTCTGAGCGTGCGTGTGGGTTCGCATGGCCGGAGGATATCAAGGTTGATGTTCTGGTGAAACATCTGGCAGGAAAAGCGCAAACGTACTATCGCCGGCAGGTAAAGAATTGGTGTGGTGAAAGTCAAACCTTGGAGCATGCTATGCAAAGGTTACCACAGACCTTCGACACCAAAATTTCACCTGCCCAAAGTATAGAGTTGTTCACGCGCCGAAGGCAAGTCACAGAAGCTGGACGGACAATTTTTTTACTTGACGGCTGTCAGCGATGCATGCGGTGGTCCGAAATGCCTAGTGCTCGACAACATGGTCCATTATGCAGACCCGCACATGCGTATGACTATGTTATCCAGGTTGGATATACATCAGACCGACCCCTACGTCAGGCTGAAGAGCTGGCGCAGCTCGCGCAGTCGACAGAAGTCGCCACTCATGCAAAAAACTTGGGGCGGGATGTGTTCAACGCTGTCGAAGCAAGCAAGGAACCAAAGGAAAAGGTCAAATCGAAGACTACCCTAACGGAAGGTGACGAGCGCACGTGTTACAAGTGTGGCGAAGTCGGGCACATCAGATCGAGGTGCCCCCACTTCAAGAAGAAGTCTACAAAATAATGCTTTTACTTTAGCGATTGGAATTGGTGGTGGTCTGGAAGATGATCATGGGATTCTCGACAGTGGGTCTAGCAGACATTTGGTCAACGACCTGAGTCTGCTGGTGGACCCAGAGGACTGCCACAGCGAGTGCTTGACGACTGCCATTGATGGAGGTGTGTTACGTGTGACGAAACGTGGAATCGTTACCATTAAAGTTGCTGCACTTGGAGTTGTGAATACCACACGACTCCTCGATGTCCAGTACGCCGCCAACCTTAAGCGTATTATCATTTCGTATGGTAAGATTGAGACTAAAGGATGCGTACTCATTTATTTAGGAGGAAGGCGTGTGTTGACCTCTGGGGTCGGAGGCGCACCGGTGATGGATGTTGATTGCAACAACAAAGTGTTGTTTGTCAAGGTGATGGAAGGCAATAACAAACCCTCAAATACATCACAAGAAGCGATGATGGTTGTAATCAATTCGCCTGAATATGAATCTGACTCGGATGTTCAAAGTGGTACCTTGGTGCACTTTTATCGCCGGTTGGTTCACCTATGTTTTGACACGATCATCAAGATGGCCAAAGACCCGGCGTCGGGTATCAAGCTGACTAACACGACGCGCATGAATTGCCTGGCGTGCGCCCAAAGAAAACAAGTCAAGGGAAAGTAGTCGAAGAAAGACGGGCAAAAACTCACCTATCGATGTGACAGGTGGAGTGATATGCTCCGATATCAAAGGACCGATGATCCTGCGAGATCGGCTGGGCAACCGTTACCTGGTCAATTTTATTGATCACCGGTCAAACTATTGCCGTGTTTTATGGATAAGTCGAAGGATGCTGCTGCGCTCAAATTTAAGCACTTCCTTGTGAGCTTTGACCGTGAATTCAATTGCAGGATCCATGTGCTACGCACCGACGGTGGTGGTAGATATACGACATTGGACATGTTTTGCAAGGCTACGGGCGTATCGCGTCAAGTGAGTGAGGCTAGGAATATCGCCAGCAACGGTAATGCTGAGCGAATGCACCTTACCATTATGAATATGGTACGAAGCATGGTGTTCGCTTTAAACCTACCTCTGTCCTTCTGGGTCGATACTGCTGACTATGCGGATTACATCCTTAACAGGAGTCAAACCAAGTCGAATCCTGGTGGAGTATCACCCATGATTTTTTTGACAAAGAAGGTGCACACGCTGAACGACATCGTAGTGTTAGGTTTAACGTGCACGGTCCATGTTGACACCAGAAATAAGTCACTTGGTGTGCGCGGTAAGGCGGCTATAATAATTGGTAAAAGTGACTCGACGAAGGGGTACAATGTATACATCCCGAGGGACAAGGTGGTTGTGGTGACGCAAAATGTGTGAAACATTGAAACACTGACGGACGAATAGAATGGGCAGTTAAGGTCCAACTTGGAGAAGATCGACTGTCAGGAGGAGACCCTTACCGATGGTCAACAAAATATTTAGGCGCAAGGAGGTGGCAAGAAACGACTTACAAAGAGCCGTAAGGCCGGAAGGTCAACATGGACAAGAGAACGACATGGCCCAAGGTCGACAAGCAAGCAACAGGCAAAGGAGATTGCTACTGAAGGACCTGTTGAACAGCAAGATATGGTGAACGCAGTTGCGGTGCAAGACCCGAAGCACTATGGGAAGGCAGTCAAGAGCGACCGTCGAGAGCAGTGGAAAATCGCTATGACCGAGGAAATGGACGCCCTGAAGACGAACGACGTTTAGACGATTGTGGTATACCTACAGGCGCACACGTCTTGCATAACAAGTGGGTGTACAAGACCAATACTGATGCAAACGGAGATATCGAGTGGTATAAGGCTCGTTTGGTTGTTTATAGAAACGAACAAGTCTTTAGAGTGGATTACACCCTAGCGTTCGCAGCCGTCATGGACTTAGGAACGGTGAAGTTGATCCTGGTGCTTTCAAGACGATGGAACGTACCTGCACGCCATGGTGACGTACCAAATGCGTACGTCAAGGCGGAAAAGGAGGAGCATTTGGATATTTACATGAAAGTGCCGAAGGGGATGAGTCTAGGCAAAAAAAAGGAGCTCATAAGTCTGGGAGTCAAGCCTTCAAGCGATTTGGAGCTACTGCTGAAAAGTCCTTGTATGGGCTTGAGCAAGCTGGGCAGTTGTGGAGCAAACTACTTGACTCCAAGCTGCGACAAAGTGGGTTTCAGCGATGCATGAAGGACATGTGCCTGTACTACAAGTACAAAGGCAAGACGTTTACAGTGGTCGGCGTCTATGTAGATGATCTGTTGGACACAGGCACCGAGCAAAGCGCTGTAGACGAGTTTTCGCTGAGATAAGCTCTTTTTATCAAGGACCTAGGGGTCTTGAACAAGTTCCTGGGATTACGATTTCAACTGGACGAGTCGAATGGTTACGTACTGGATCAAGAGGTCACAATCGACCTGTTTCTCAAGGATTTCGGTATGGAGTCAGCGAATGGAGTGCGGAATCCTATTGGAGACGAGTGCAATGAGGATGACGAAGATGATCTAGACTATATACCTACTAGGAGCGCAAAGTGTGATTTAAGTGTAAAGACGTTCCAGTCGCTGGTGGGAAGCTTGCTATGGATTGCAAGGTGCACGCCTCCAGACATTTGCTTCGCAGTGCACAAACTCACGAGACAGAAACACAAGCCGACGTCCAAGGACTGGAAAACAGCCAAGCGTATCTTGAGATACTTATAGATGTCGAAGAGTCTGAAGTTTTATCTGAATAGTGTTGGACCAACGACAGAGGACAACCGAATCGAGTGTTGAGGCGATGCAGATTTTGCTGCAGACAAGGCCGACCGTAAGTCAGTGTCGGGATGTGTACTAACGATGGATAGTGCTGTTGTTCTTTGGTTAAGCAAGAAACAATCAGGGGTGTCGTTAAGTACGATGGCGGCAAAGTTCATATCAGCGTCGCAGGCAGGACGTGAGCTACTAGGCACGAAGGAATTGCTGAACGAGCTAAAGTTGCGTGTGCGCGAGCCTATGCCAATGTGGATCGAGAATTAAGCCGCTATCAAGCAGCTTAAATCGGAGAAGAGCACCTCGAGTGCCAAGCACGTGGATGTACGGTTTAAGTTTATCTGTCATCATGCGCAAACAGATATGGTGGTGCCAAGATTTAATAAGTCGGAGAACATGATGGCGGACATACTGACCAAGGCCCTACCCGCGCCAATTATGGAAGAATTGAGAACAATTTTAAAGTTGAAGGCCGCTCAGGATGACACCGAGGAGGAGTGTTAGAAACGATCATGTTTGACAGGTTCGAGGTTCAAGGGATATACCATGTGACGGTCTCACCTGATTGGCCAGTGATATTACCAGGTGACATGTGGGACCACGAGGAGACGATCGGAAAGATGAGACAGGAAGATACAGGGCGAAGATGTGACAGATGAGATGGCGAGGTGACAGCTTGACGGTTGGGACTAGGCGATACCGTTGCAATGTGTGACCGACGTACGGGATGTGCAGGAAAGACGGATGCCATCAGGGAGGTACATGGTCAAGTTGCAGTGCAGTTGCGGTGTATGTTGTAGCATTGACGAAGGGAAATAGCTAATGCTAAATTCATTTTAATTTTACTTCTAACTGCCTCTGCACAAGTGCACGGCAAGCATCTAAAACTTACACAAACGTGTTTCGGCCCTCGCTGAGGGCCTCGTCAGTGAATAAGTTTGTTTACGAGTGAGAACTTTCAAGCCCTCTATATACAAAAGGTCAATTGGATCCATTATCGAATCTAAAACTCTCTAAACCAACCATGTAGGCTGGTGTAGGTTAAAGATCTGGCGTCAATACCAAGTAAATCTTGCTTCTCGAAATTCCTTGCACTCGTTGAGGCTCTTGCGAATTGAGTTATGTTTGTCAATCAAAGCCCGCGGTGCTGAAATGTGATCTGATTAATGCGAGAGCGACGCAATTTGCCATGTTGAGCCGCACCTAGATGATTAGCTGATGTCCTTTTCAAAAGATGGTTTCAGGCGCTCTCACAAAGCCGCGGCTTTGTAGCACTCGCTCTGAGAGTGTATCTGTACACCCGAACGAGGTACCCACGCAGTTCAACATCATTCTGGACCACCTGAAAATAGGTCCTGCTTGCTGAAATCTACAACATATGCAACGGGGTATGTTTTACTGCCTCAAGACCAATGGGAAAATCGCTCACCACTATTTGGAAGGATATTAGAAAAATCAAGACTCGGGCGACGGTAGTTCTGATGTGCAATGCTGACGGCTCGGACGAACGCGATATGCTTACCATTGGTCACGCGATGAAGCCGTGCTACTTTGATAAGAAGACGGATGTATGCTTGGACTTTACTTATGTGGCAACTTCACGGCGTGAATAACTTGTATCCAATTCCAAGACTCGATTTGTGAGCTTGACTACTACACGCGCGCTCAAAAACGTAACATCTTTCTCCTGCATGACGATGCATTATCACAAATACTCATGTCTAATAGGTGAGAGCGCGAAAGGCGTACGTTTTGCCAATCACGACCACGAAGCTGCAGCCCGTGAATGCCTGTATCCTTGCCTTGTCAAACGTCGGTGTAGACAGAGCCACCATGAGCATGCTTTGAATGTAGTAGAAAATGATTGCAGGCCAAATTACCTACATAATAAAACAGGTCACGTCTAAAAGTGGATCGGAATCGATCTGACGTGAAATTCCTCGCGATGATATTTTTAACTGATATCGGTACACAAGGATCGAGCTTGGCCGTACAAACACTTGCACATCACGTTTAGACGATGGCGGCTTACTAAAAACAATCTTGCTGGAGCGAATGCTACTGCTACGCATCAGCAACCTGATGTACCTTAACAAATTCATTTCCGCACGTCCGAGGTCGATAGGGAGATAGAAGTGCTGACTGCCACATCCTTCCTAATTATTTAGCGGAAACTGGGTTCCAGGTGGTGGCTACATATAGCAGAAAATTCATAGAGTGGGAGTCGATAAGCCAGAGTATTATCGCCACGCAGCCAAAGATCATCACCAAGGGCAAAACAGACAAAATTTCAGCCATCACTTTTGCTACGTGACCACTCAGATCTAGAAAAACTTATCATGGAGGGATGGGTACATTAAATCAGCGATTGCGTAAGATCATAAGTGTAAATCAGGAAAACTCACTCACAAAAACTCTTTTTCGTGGATACTTCCTGGCGGCACCAGCCATGAAATAATATTAAGACGATGATCAAGCGATATTAACAGCACGTGCAAATACTATAGTGTTGATCTGTTAGATCAGGATGATCTGATGCGGTAAATGATCCGATTATTATCTGAAGTTGACTAAACGATGCTGGTAAAATTGGGGATCAAGAGATTGTCATACTTAGCCCAGCTGTGCATAGCCTCCCCTAGGACCTCTTAAGGCCATAACTTGTACTTAATATGGTTGGATGGTTCCAATTTAAACACAAAGTCAACGTTCGGTCTTAGTATATGTAAAAAGGGAGTGTAGAAGGCAGAGATAGGACCTGCAGACGAGGCGGCAAAATCCATACTAATCTCTTTAATGTGTCCGGGTTTACGAATCATTCTTATGCTCTTTATTAACAGTTGACCTTTCGGGTCTCATCATTTTCTTTTATTGGCCATTGTCTTGCTGTAATTATCGCTGATGCGGCCCTTGGGTTCCTTTGGCCTACTATGTAAAATTAGGAAACGTCATGTCCTACAGCGCTGGTGAAACCACACACCAGGTCATGAAGTCTTACTTTTATTGCTTTGCTCAATCTGGTTTATCGTACCACAGACCTCCGGATTGATGCTGCTACACCAACTCACTTCAGCTATTATGGTGGAGTGGGTTGTCAAAACTGTTTGACGAGACCTTAAACCACTCACTGTGCCGGACTTCCGACTGTCGGATGGGGTACTCCGATGCTGCTTGGGGACCTTGGCTCACCTTGCGTACCCGTCGGCTTGGCGGGTTTCACTCTTCGGAGGACTTGGTGATGATGTAGACTTTGCCCTTGATGGAGGTCTACCTGGAGGCCCCGAGCGGATATTCTTCAGTCGGGGTACAATGTAGGCGGCCAATCGATCGACTTGGTCGAGAGTGGTCTTATAACCAGTTGTCTCAAGTGCTGGTGGTGACTGGCCTTTACTTGTCTCAGAAGTGTTAGCCGCCTGGCCTTTATATGTTTTCTCCCTTACCACTAGGGTATGGAGACCGCTTTTTATAAAGCGGGCCTGAGTTGGGAGGCAGAGCTACCCTACGAACCCACAGGCCAATGTACTTCCTGGGGTTTTACTTACGCTTGTGTCTTACTGACAACTGTCGATTCGACGGGTGGGTCAAACAGGTCCCTGGCCCGGAACAGTTCGGTATACTTACAAGTTTCTTGGCGCACGACACGTCGTGCTAACTTAGATCGCAAATTGAGTAGTATTTAATTTTGTACTATCCTTTAAACATCTTTACTCCATTTCTGCCTGGCACCTGTGTTTGCTTCGATGAGTGGCCAGGAGCCACCAAAACGTGAGGGATCCAGTGGACCTATGGGTGACCAGGTCGGTTGATGGGTGGCCAGGTCGGCCTACTGGGAACTAAGGTCCACCTTGAGCGACCAAGCCGACCGAAGAGTGGTTGAAAACGATCCATATCAATTCCGTTTGACTGGTACCGTCGGTCGGTTTGACCCCGTTAGCAGTAATCTTAACCTCTCGTCACGGTTGGAACCAACGTCCGTATCTTACCTATGATTCTTAAGGCTCCGGTCCCTTTCACGGCCGCGAGGTCCCGTGTCCGTCCGGATCATCGACTCGTAAGTCCATCATTTTCGAATATTTGCTTTACCACACTATAGACGTACTTATACTTTACGTACTCTTATGTTCTAAATCTATATACTATGTAGCAAAGACACACACATTTGTGATGCCGTGTCACCTTTGACCAACAGAACGCAGCCATAACTGTTAAGCTTTCGCTCCGCTTCCGCATGTGAAAAACCTAAGAGATGAGCGGGAGGAATTTAAAATCCAAACTATCATCGCAAGAGGGTTGTGAACGTGTCACTGTCCTTACTCCGGTCCTAAATTATAAATAATGTAACGCGATTTTTGATATAATACCTATTTTCCGTTATAAATTTGGCTATAAAATTTCAAAGAAGCGAAATTGGTGGATCAACAACTTATCATCTTTAGCGAGAAATTATGTTCGTAGATCAGATTTCCAGGTTTTTGTGTAATGCTGTTTCACCACAGGTAGCTTGCGTGATGATTAATACTATTCGCACGATAGTCCCACAAATTTGTGTGAGGGTATTAATTGCCTAAATGCTGACATTCATTGCGAGTCCGAAGAGTAGAGCGATTCATGACTGTGAGCAAGATAAATGCCGATCTTTGTAATCATTCTTATTTGTATAAGTATCTATACATCACTTAAGGATTTTCTTATACATCTTACTAAGTGCGATGAAACTTGTCGCCTTCTTATGGGCCGAAATGTATAGTTGGTGTCTTTCATCAGGTCAAAATCGGCGACCTCGTAGGGGTTAATAACACACACCAAAGGGACCGCATGTGACTGGCACAAAAACGGCAAATGTCGAGAAAAGAGATATCAAGTAAATGCTAGACACTCTGGGACCGCAAAAGTCTCGCACATTTCGCAAACAAAAATGTGAAGCGGTTTTAATCTTTGTTACTTTTTACACTAAATTATCAAGAAAACTCGGCCACGTTTTTCTCTCGGTAGCAGTGCAAGAATCATTCATTCAATTCTTTTTCGTGTGGAAAAGTATTCATCTTTGGTCTCATTACATGGTATAGCACTTTTATCTTGAGGACACAAAACACAAATCATATCTAAGTAGCTGATAGATTGCAATTAAACGTGAACAAATGTAACTTTTTAGCTCTTCGAAGTAAACAACTGATATTAGAGGGCGAGCTACAAATCTTGCGCCTTTGTTATGTTGATCAAGTGTTGGCGAAGCCCATAATTTGTCTACGTTGGCATCAACCAGTGGG